CCATATGGATGGGCAAGCATGAAGCCAACTGCCATTTTATAGAGCCTGTTGGGTGGACAAACAAGGAATGAGACATGGAAGGAGGAACCTGCCAGAGAACACACAGCCAAGCAAGCAAAAGCAAGAAGCATCACCCACACAAGAGCAATCCCTTACCTGGCATCCCAGAAGGTTAGAATAGAAGCTCCACCAGCCCCGTGTCCTCTCTGGTTGTCGTGATTATCCACAAAGACCAGGGCTCTGTCAGAAGGCACAAAGCCCCAGCCTTCTCCCCAGTTCCTAAACAAAAACACAGACTTGAAGCTACCCTGTCAACTGGTGTATCCAGTGAATCATGGATAAGTTGCAGCACCTTCATCCTTACTTTAAGTAGGCCATCTTTTCTCCATCCCACTTGCGAAGCACTGTTCCCAGTTTGGCACCATATTTGAATTCTGTCACTCGGCCATTTCCAAAGTACTCGCTGCCTTTGATGGGCTCTGAACCCAAATCAATTACCTGGCACAGGAAAGAAAACCTGCATCCATTGTTGTCTCGCAAAGAACAACAATGCAATGTACAGAACTTGACACGAGTTCTTTCTTTACATTGAGAAGAAAGTAGTTATCTATTTGTGCTGTGTAGAGCAACACAAAGCCATGAGGGACACCTGTAAAAACATGAGTGATGAAAGGAAAGCTAAAGTTGATTGACAATCTGTTTGTGGAGGCATTTTTAAGAATCAAAATTGCCTATGTCTGCAGGGCTGCTCTAAGTAAATTGTGAGCTCCTTCTAGGGTGAGTTGGATGAAGATGTATTGTTGTTCCTCTGAAGGAGGAGGCAAAAGAAATACAAAAGACAAAGACAAAAATAAATGAGAAAATGTGGAGATTACCTCTTGGTAAATGAAAGGTTTAGTTCCTGCAGAAAACCATTGAGTGTTCAGATCATGCAGCTTGTCCAGAAATGCTCTTATGTCCCCAGGCCACATGTGCTTGGCAGCATCAATTCGGAATCCTGCTACACCAATGTCAATGAGACGGTTCATGTATTCTGCAATCTCTGAGCGCACATAGTCCTTCTCCAGGGCCAGATCCAGAAGGCTGCTCAAGCGGCAGTCCCGGACCTGTGCAACAGAAAATAAAAAGAATAAAGATATCTGTGTATTACACCAAAGGAGGGGTGGAGGTGGGGTGGTGGTTAATGAGGTTGTATTGGATTGGGAAGAAAGTGGGGAGTGATATCCAGAGTAAAGGCTTTACAGAAGGGTTCAGTGACAACCACATGGTAAAGCCCTACTGTCCTGGAGACAGCTGAACACCTGCCTTCCAATGGGAAGTGATGAATAAATTCTTGTTTTACTTTGCTTATGTGTGTGGCTTTCTCTTTACCTATTAAACTGTCTTGATCTATGAGTTTTCTCAGTTTTACTCTTCCAGTTCTCTTCCCCATCCCACTGAAAGTAGGATGAGTAGTGTTTAGCTGCTGGCTGAGTTAAACCACAAGTTTTCTTTGGTGCCCAATGTGGGACTCAAAGGGTTCGAATTAATCAGTGTCTCTGATTAATGTGCTAGATGGAATTTCCAGCTGTCTTGCTGTTTGGCTAATAATTGACAGGCTCCTGTGCTTGCCATGGAGCTCACTGGCCTCGCTGAGCATTAGAGTCTAGGGCTCATTAGCAGCTGCTTTGTGCTGTGGCTGCAGCTGCAGCTTGTGCTGCTGATCCCCCCACCTGGGACATTTTGATCCCAGCGCTGGCGCTGGCCTGGGCCGGTGCCTGAGGGACTGCAGGGCCTGGGGAAGTCCAAGCCAGGGCAGGGGTAAGGGGAGCATTGCAACATAAAGCATGATGCTCTAGTCCAAAGGAACTGGGAGTGGACATTGTAATGGAAATACCTTTAATTTATTGTAATCCAGGATTTGGGATATGTGTTATAGGGGTTACCACAGCAGAAGCCACCTGAACCCATGAAGGACAAGCCCTACATGAAGCAGTGCAAGTGCAGAAACATTATAATGTATTGTTGCAAAGTGGCTGAAGGGAGAGCTTCAGAAAGAACTGCTACATATTCTAACTACAAAACCCACTAAACTGTGTAACTACAGCACCACCTTGCACTGCTCTCAGTTTTCCAAGGGGCTGGAGATAAAATACTTTTTCACAATGATTATGCCATCATAAACTGAGTGGTCCACGAGTAGTGCACCCAAATCCATAACTGCACTCTTTCTAATCACATAAACAAAGATACTTTATCAAAAGTATTCCAAAATGTGGAAAATCAGACAGCTGCAGAAGCTGAACTGGCTAGTGCCACCATCCTCTTGGCCTTGGGAGAGATAAACTCAAGGTAAGGACAAAAGTTAAGACATCCTATCTGGTCACTCTGACAACTCTGGCAAAAGAATGCAACAAGGACATTGCTGGTGGAAGAATGATAACTGAGAAGATTGTGTTACTAGGGGAACAGGAGCAAAGGAGTCTGAGTGGAAAATTTTGGACAGAATTTAGAGTCCTATAAATACTGGTAAACTGATGCAACAAACAGCTTTGCTTGCATAGCATGGTCTGTGTCTCTCAATCCCCGGGAATGGTGTCCCGTGTGAGGAACGACAATTTGCCTATCTGGCCGTTATGGGGATGCCCCACAGAACTGAAGTGCTGCAGAAAGGAAGCAGGAGCCAGCCAGCATCCATCCCGTCAGGTTTTGATGGTGAGCTGTGGGGGACATGGGCAGTAATATGTCTTCAGAAGAAAAACATGTCTTTGAACTTATGTATAAACTTTTAGAGAAGCCCAGAAAAACAGTTGCTTCTCATTCTCTTAAACTGATTTTACACTGGTCAGAATCACATGTTAAAGGGTTAAAGGCCAGCATGGCTTTCCCAGTGAAACTGTAGGTTGAATGGGTGATGAGAGGTGATAAGATCGAAGCTGGTTTTGTACATCTCTGGAGAGCTATTTTAGAAACTCTTTAAGCTCAGGAGGGTGCCGGGAAAGAATACTGGTGCCCCCTCAGCAACAGGCAAGGACTCTGCAGAGGAGCTTTTAACATCCCCCTCTGCCTAGGAAGGATGAGAGTTGAGTCTTTCTTTGTGAGTCACAATCCGAGGGAAAGCAAGATGCTGGCACAGCTGATTAAGTAACATCAGCAGTGTTCGTTGGACAAAAAACCATGGAATTGTGAGTAGTGGGGAGGTGTTCCAGTAGTGTCAGTGCAACTTACACATAGTACAGTAATTTCTCCAAATTGGAGCTACTGTCATAATGGGTTAAACACCCTGTACCTCTTTCCTAAATGAAAGGGACCTTGAGATTAAAAAACTCCTGTAAGCAGTTGCAACAGGAGTACTAAGATACTGATAATGAACCTGGTCGTGGATCCAAGACACAGATCCTGAGAACAAATCCACAGAACGGATCGATCCTCAATTTGGTGCGCGGTGCTGCTGGCAGTGGTGGAGCCCCCTCGGAGCTCCCCCTGCCCACGGTAATACCCCATGGCTGGTATTAGCCCCCTGGGCTTGAAAGCCCCCCTGGCTTGTCTGAGCTCTCCCGCCTCCTTCCGTGCCGGGCGGCAGCGCTGACCTGAGGGTCCCCGGTCTGTGCCTGCCGAGAGCGGCCCATCAGCTCCTGCACGGTAGGATCAAGCCCTGCACAGCAGGATCAAGCCCTGCACGCAGTACTGAAGCCATGGCACAACACTGTTAGACTGCCTGCAGGATGCATTGAAATACATTTGTTAAAATTAACCTTGTATTTTCAGGAAGCTGTGATTTTAACAGGATTGTTTACTGGAGAGATGATTCACTGACAGTCATTAACTAAGTCCTATAACCTTGAATTTGATCTGCAGCAGTTTAATCCCTCTATGTTGCTGCTATTTTGGTCATGGAACAGTTGTTTACCTACGTGTTGTTCCTTCATGTTTAACTGTTGTATGACAGATTTCCAGTAACTTTTTTGTAATGATAGAGTCAAAATGACTTATGTTAAATTTAAGTGATATTAATTTTCAATTTTGTTATGATTCAATTTAGTACAGTTTAAGTAATGGTAAAATTCAGTTCTGTTGAATTTAAGTGATGTTACGTTTACCTTCTGTTAATTTTGAGTTCTGTTGCACTTCTGCCAAATTAAGACACTGTTAAGGTTATGTACCGTTAATTTCTGTTAAGATTAATTTTTGTTCAAATTAATTTCTGTCAAGTTTATGTGTTGCTAGGCTTAAACAAAGTTAAATTTAAGTGTTATTCAATTTAATCTGTTATTTTAAGTTCTGTTAAGTGCTATTAAGTAATGTTAACTTCCTCCTCCCTAAACAGCACAGCCCCTGAACTCCAACCATATGAACTTCAGAACTGTAGCCATTTATTTCCAACTCCCAATTAAACATTTTCCTTTTGTTCTCATATATGGGTCTCTTTGTCAGTGACATGATTGTATTTGATAAGTTTTCATTAAATGTGATCTGTATTCCATGTATCTTACCCCGTATCCAGCCAATAATGAGTAATAGTCTTAATAAGACAATGGCCTTACAGGTGCAAACTGTTTTAACATCAGGGTACACAAACCCCTTACATAAAAAAAAAACAAAAAAAGGGGAAGATGTGGAAGATCAGAAAACCACAGAAGCTGAGCTGGGTGGTGCCGTCATCCTCTTGGCCTTGGGAGAGATAAACTCAAGGTAAGGACAATAGTTAAGACATCCTATCTGGTCACTCTGACAGCTCTGGCAAAAGAATGATAACTGAGAAGATTGTGTTACTAAGGGAACAGGAGCAAAGGAGTCGGAGTGGAAAATTTTGGACAGAACTTAAGAGACCTATAAATACTCGTGAACTATTGTAATAAATGGTTTTGCCTGCATAGCATGGTCTGTGTCTCTCAATCCCTGCACCAAAACATAACACACAGACCCTCTGACGGTAAAAGCAGTAGGAGCTGACTGAAAGATGACAGGAAATCTAATAGCATTAAGAGAATGAACGAGTTTGCCAGCATTCAGAGGTGTCTTGCCCTCAGAATTAGACTGAGTTCAGACGAGGGTATGAACAACTGTCATGGTTTTACACTGGCCCAACACCAGGCACCCATGAGAGTTGCTTGCTCACCCTCCCCTGACACATCTGGGCTGTGGAGAGGGAAAAAAAAATAACAAAGGGCTCACGAGTGAGATAAGGACAGGAAGAAAACGTTTAAGGGCAAAATGGATTCAACTTAAGGCTGCAAAGTGAGTTTATTACACAGAATCAGAGGTGGATAATGAGAAGTAAAATAAGCCCTTAAAACACTTTCAATCCAGGCTCCCCTCCTTCCCACTGACAGCGCAGGGAGATAGGGCATGGGGGTTTTGGTCAGTTCATCACCAAGATTCTCTTCTGCTGCTCAGGGAGAGGAGTCCTCCCCCTGTGAGGTTACGGGGTTCCTCCCACACAAGAAATTTCTCCATGAACCTCCCTGGCGTGGGTCTGCTCTCAAGAGCAGCAGCCAAACCTCACCTGCTGCAGCTGAGTCCCTCTCATGGGCACACAGCCCCCCAAAATTGCTGCAGCCTGGGTCTCTCTGCCCAGAGGGTGCAGTCCTCCAAAGACAGACTGCTCCACCCTGGAAGCAAGGGCCCCTCTCTTCACCGGGTCTTCCACTGGATCCCAGCCTCCTGCAGGCATCCACTTGCTCTAGAATGGGCAGTCCCCCACGGGCTGTGAGTGGATCTCTGCATCCCCCATGGATCCCCATGGGCTGCAGGGACACAGCTGCTTCACCATGGTCGTCACCAGGAGGCCTGCAGAGGAATCTCACCTCTGGCACCTGGAGCACCTCCTCTCCCTCCTTCTGCACTGACCTTGGTCTGTTCTCACCTCCTCCTCTTTTCTGACTAGAAGAAAAACCATGTGCCTTTGTTTTGATTTTCTTCTTAAATATGTTAGCACAGATGCATTACCAACCTCTCTCACTGGCCCAGTTTTGGCCAGCAGCATGTCCATCTTCAGAGCCACCAGGGACTGGCTCTGCTGGAAATGGTGGAAGCTTCCAGCAGCTTATCACAGGAGCCACCTCTGTGGTATCCTGGCTATCAAAAACCAGGCCATGCAAAACCAACACGTCAGAGGCAAGGAACAAAACCCAATATCAGATGCAAACAATAGTGCAGATGAGTTTTAGCTGCCTGACATATAACTGAATTTGAAAGCTAGAGCTCTTTTCCAAGTCCTCTCTTGTATTTCCTACAATTTCCTCTTTCAAAAAAAAAGACCTTTGACTTTTCTTCATGAAATGACTTCAGGTCTGCATTTGGAACTGACAAAAGATCAGTGTCTTAGCAACAATCCTCCATGAATAAACTTGAGTAATACTAGCAATAAAATAATAATCTAAGAGAATACGAAGACTAGAAAATCAACTTGAATTGTGCCATGTTTCAGCACACAGGGGTCTCCCCTTGGTTTTTGGATATCCTGCCAATTATAGCAATCCTGCTTGCCCCTAAAGAGAACTGCATTTCCACTTCTGCACACAGCAGCACGATTTTAAATTTAATGTCAATCTTCTCCTTCCATTTTTTTATTAGAACCTCAATAAAGTACACTTACAAATGCACGCAGATATACAGCACCACCCCAGATCTGCATGGCACCACCAGTTCTCATCTCTACAGCAGCTGCTCACTATTTCATTAGCATTACAGCTAACACACTTTGCTCTGTCTCGGTTCATGCAGTCCTGAGAGTCAGGACATTCTGCACATCTGTTTGCTGTTAACAAAGATACAGAGGAGAAGGAACAGCACATGCACAACACATCTGGCTACAATTTAGCATCAACATGAATGGCAATGAATGGGTCTTGGTCTTCATTCCCAATCAGGAAATTAGCCATGCCATCAGCAGCAACACGTACTTCAACTGCTGTACAGAAGTCACCTTCCTTTTGCCCAGAAATGATATCACAGTAAGTGCCAGCAGGCAGACCAGTTTGCAGAGATACATTCAAGGACCTGTGGAAAAGAACAAAGTGCAGTAAGCGTTATGAGGACTCTAAAATGCTCTTCAAATCATACTGGAAACCTCAGATGTTAAGCAATTTTGGAATTACCCCCTAGCACATCGCTGGACACTGCAGAATCTATTTAATCACTACATGCTTCAAATTGACCATCAGCACAACCTACAGCTACTTATTACAGCCCTGATGTACTCCCAGGGCTCGTTCTCTTATCATCTCATTCTCACATAAACAACTCCAATACAGTTTTTAAAACTGTCACATTTAGAACATATTCCTGAGTTTACAAGTTCCCTCCCTTCTACAGATTTAGACTTTGCTGGTTGGCCAGGCCCAGTGACACAGTCAGCTTCAGAACTGGGAAATAGAAAGACCACACTACAAGGTCTAAACTGCCATGACTGAAAAGTACTCATGGCAGAGTGGAAAATGTTACGTTTAAATTGTCAGTAACTGTCAATAATAATCCATTAGAAAGATCTATTCATGCTAGCAACACTTGAAAAGGTTTCACTACTAACTAGATTTCGGAAATATATATTTAATACATAATAATTTCCTTATAATCATAATAAATTATTTATATGATTTATTTCCCTCTTACTCACCAGTCATCATTATTGAAGATGATGAAACCTTTATTACCACGGCCAAAAGCCACTTGATTGCTGCCATTGTCCCACCAGTTGGAGAAAGGCTCACCATCCACCACATTACGGAAGATAACCATGTTCCTGGAAACACAAGCAATGTCTGCCATGGCACCTGCAACACCTCTAAAGCCACATGGAGCAGGAAGCAAAAGCAACTGCTTTGAGTTCTTGTTTCTCCCCAGGGCCCTACCTGATCTGACGCCAGCGATGTTCACAAACCCAGTCGTTGCCACAGGTCGTGTCCGCGTTGATTGTAACGGCCTTTGTGGAGCCATCTGCGTTACTTGGGGGTCCATACCAGTCATTGACGTCCTGTCATTCAAAAGACAGGTTTAGATCTTCTGACTGAAAATGCAGACAGCCCCTCTGGTGAGCAAAGCTAGAGGGAGCATCAAAGTTTCACTGGGATTGCCCAGCCTGGGACAGGGAAATCACTCGACAACCTGAAATGCACTGGACTACTTCTCTGGTCCTGCTCTCACCCTTAATCCCCATGGATGGATCTGCAGCATTATCAGCTCACCTTTCCATTTTCAAAATGTCTTGGCCAGCGAAAACTTGACATCACCCTTGTGAGCCCATATGGATGGGCAAGCATGAAGCCAACTGCCATTTTATAGAGCCTGTTGGGTGGACAAACAAGGAATGAGACATGGAAGGAGGAACCTGCCAGAGAACACACAGCCAAACAAGCAAAAGCAAGAAGCATCACCCACACAAGAGCAATCCCTTACCTGGCATCCCAGAAGGTTAGAATAGAAGCTCCACCAGCCCCGTGTCCTCTCTGGTTGTCGTGATTATCCACAAAGACCAGGGCTCTGTCAGAAGGCATAAAGCCCCA